TAAACACAACAAAAAATGGGGCAATTCCTAAACACTCTACACCCTCATGTAGGGTTGTGAATGGGTTGGGTTGACCCCGACTTGACTAGATCTAAGTTAGACTCGGAATACAATCAGGTCCCTGTACAAAAATAAAATTGATAAAAAATTAACTTATATTTCATAACTATAGTTGAAATATATTTACATGCATTTCATAATTGTATATATCCGTGTCGGGTTAACCTTGACCCTAGCCCGACATGATAGGGTCAAAGTTGAACCCAGTCAGGGCAACGCCAAGTTAGGTCCATTGCCTGAGTCCAGACCTAAACCCTCGCGTCGACATGTTGATTCGACCCCATTCCCAAACCTAGCTGCATGCTCCACTAAACTGGCTTATTGTAGATGGAGGCAAAATAGGTTGAGCCACCAAATTACCTATCGTGAATATGTCCATCTAAAATTTAGGGTCAAGTCTCTTTGATGCTTCTTAATTCGAATTCCCAAAACGGAAAAAAGGACAAGGTATTAGTGGTCTTTATTTCATTTGGATTTCCAAACCAAAATGTATTCGTCCCTCATAGGTTTGTTAATTAGGAAATTCTAAAAGGAAAACCAAATGACTTTGTTAATTACAAAATCTTAATTCGAATTCCCGAAAAAGAAAAAGGACAAGGTATTAGTGGTCTTTATTTCATTTGGATTTCCAAACCACAATGTATTCGTCCCTCACAGGTTTGTTAATTAGGAAATTCTAAATAAATAAAAAAAAAAACAGATGACTTTGTTAATTAGAACGTTCTAAAAAGAAAACAAAATGACAAAAAGCAAGGTATTTTGGAATACCTTTTTTAAACATGGTTTTCTCTCTCTCTCTCTTGTGCTCGATCCTAGGACACATTGGAGCTAAACGGTAAGAGCTACCATTGCACCATGAGAATCAGCAATGTTAATGTGCAACCATTAAATTATTTGAAGCAAAGGCCGTTGATCACCAAACCAACAAATGCAAAATATTTTTCACTCAATCCTTTCTATTATGGAAATTTAACTAAGATGTAGTCGCTTTCTCTCTCTCAATAAGATGTAGGAATAGATAGGATGGATGGGTGTGGTTTCTAAAAGGCATCAATTTTAAACAAAGCACGGTGGACCTCCTGATCTTGTTGGAAGATGCAGTTTGGTCAAGAAAAGTTTGATTATGGTATGAAGGCCTATTTCTACTTTTAACTATGAAATTGGAAGCTTCAAAACTAGTGTGAATTGAACGGATCTATAAATATTAGAAAATTTTGAAAATGAAATGTCCAGAATATTATATAACAAAATGTATTGTTTTTAGGACTTGAAATCCTTTTTTATCGTATGTATACATATGGAATTCGACATAATTAGTTGGATGGATTTTCACCATTAAAACAGCCCTTTTTTAGTGGTACTTCGTTATGCCTCTACCCTTATAATATAAAGTTGACTCGTAATATAAAACTTTTTCCCTATTTATTTGATCAATAATGTGGAATCGAACGGTTGGAGTAGTTGGAAATTTCAAGAAATTTGCATTAGTGAAGCCATTTTTTGTGAAGCTTACTTCATTCGATCAATTTTTATCCAATTCTAAATTCGTTCCCACGTACCCCACAAAATCCAAAAAATATGAAATCCGATGTGTTAAAAGGAGCAAATTAAAAAGGACTAGTTATTTTTTTTTTCTTTTGTGGACTTTATTTCATTTTGGATTTCCTAACTACAAATAGTATTTTCTTTGAGATTTTCTAATTAGAAATTAAGAAAAGGTTTTATAATTAGAATTTTCAAAAAATAACCTGCAAAATCCTAAAATATGAAAACCGAAAAGGACAAGTTTTATTTTTAATTTATCTTGCGGACTTTAATTGGTTTGGATTCCCTAACTACGATAGAGTATTCTCTGGGAGGTTTTCTAGTTAGAAATTTCAAAAAATAGGAGGTCTTCTAATTAAAAATTTCAAAAAACAGAAAATAAACAAAGAAGCAAATGACAAATAGCAAGGTATTTTAGAATACCTTTTTTTGGCCTTCTTTCCTCTCTTGCTCTTGCTCGATCCTGGGCCACACTGGGACCTTCAATGTAAGCACTACCAATGGGCAACACATATCAGCAAATGCAAAAGTGCGCCCTTAAATACTTATGGGTGCGGTTTCTATAAGGTTGAAACCTTAAATAATTCAATTAAGGCGTACCTCCAAATTGTATCATAACATGTAATTTTGTTGTAAAATATTCTTAGGATTATCTTAAAATCTATTTTAATATCTAATTAGAAAATTCTAAACTCCAAAAATGGTTAAAATCAAGGAGATCTATAAACATAAGGAACTCTTCAAAAAGGACGATCAAACGGTGAGTGGCTCTCTTGATCAAAATTGGACGGCTAGATGGTAGGGGAAACATAGATCTTCTATACTTTAGGGAAGTATGGAAACCTTTCCCAAAACTAAATAGCATGCTTTATGTGCTTGAAAAAGAATAACGTCACAGGAACGCAGCCGTCTAATTTTTTAGTACAAGATATGAGAATAAAAAATCCAGAAATCCAATTTTTTCTTTTTGAAAATATTCATCTAGTAATTCTTAGGTGGATCCTAAAAATTCAGATAAAAAAAATTCCCCTAACTAACTCTTTTGCTCAAAGGAGTTAATATAACACGACAATATTTTTTTGGGAAAATTCTGTTTATATTCGTTATATTTACTGTTATTACGAAAGTACCTTTTAGTTTCCGTTATTACGCATACATTCGTCTTTTCAATTTTATAACTATTTTTTTTTTAAAAAGACGTAACTGACCATTTTCGAATTTTCAAAAATAAACAAGGAGCTGAATTCGGTTTTTTAAAAATCGAAGTATTCAAACCATTGGAATATAAGTCGAAAAAATGGATATTGTAGAAAGGGGCAAGTTCTTTTCGAAAACCAAAACGAATATTCAAACCATTTCAATATGTGAGCTGGCCACATTGAAAAACCGAAAATAAGTAGTTCCATCTTTTTTAAAAACATTGTTAAATAATAACGGAAATTAAAAAGTATTTTCGTAATAACAATAAATATAACGAATATATACATCATTTTTCTTTTTTTTTTTATGAGTTTTATTAAAAAAAAACCAAACAAACCAAGCGATTAGACGGGAAAAATTTGAAGGAGAATTTTTTTTTTAAAATATAGTATGAAAAAGCCGGTATTAGCGACAAATGTCAAAAGCTCGGATATTTTAAAATATCCGACAAATGTGAAAAGCGAGGTTATTTTAGAATACCTCATATTCATCTGCTTTCTCTCTTCCCCTCCCTGCTCGATCCTAGGACGCAATGGAAGCACATGTTTGTGACAACCGATAGGCCACAAGGATAAGCAATGTGCATTTGCACCCTTAAATTATTTAACGTTAAGATTATTTCCTAGCCAAAGTCCAACAAATGTAAAATATTTCTCATCGTCCTTAAGTGAAATTCAAATAAGATGGTGCACCCTCTCTCTGGTAAGAAATAGGAAAGATAAAAATAGTAAGATGGGATTTTTTCGGTTCTTTTTTTATGTAATAAAGAAGAAAAGGAAGCGGAAAAGAGGAAAGATTTTTTAAAATGAAAAAGTAGTCAAGGTTATATTATTATATGTAAGAGGATAGGTTGGGAGTGTGCTATTGATGTGTGACCATGTAACTTTTTTTTCAATTAATTAAGGTTGACTACAGGAATCTTGATTTTCAATTCAGATACATGAATCTAGGTTTCCAATTAATTGGGGTGTGCTATTGATGTGTCCGAAGTTCAAAAGAAATTTCTTAAACTTCTAAAATATGTTTGAAAACTATGAATTGGATTTTAGTTGCATTTTGATAATTTCCTCAATATTTTAATTTTCTTTTTCATATTTCACCCAATATACGGGTGGAGAAAAGCGCCAACTCATAATACCTCACCCATCTTTTGGGAGGTAAAATAAATTCCAACTAGTTCAAGTATTTATTATATCTTGCAACTTCTAGATTAATATGACGTAAATTTTTTGCAAATTAAATTAAAAAGAAATTATCGTAAACATATTTTAATTTAAGTTTAATTGAAAAAAGATCCTAAATTTTTGTTTATCTCGTTTACACTCTTTTTCTTTATTTTCGGATTTTTTTTATCAAAATGATATTCACGGTAGTCTGTAATAGTTAGTACATATTATATTATCATAATACTGAGGGTATTTTATACGGTATTTAAGTATGTAAACGTAAACTAACTATTATTCGTCATTTGAAGTACCGTAAATACTAACTCATATTATACGGTACTTAAAATGCTATAAACCCTTTTCTTATTATGCTTATATTTATCTCTTTCATTTTTAATTTTTTTTATGTTTATCTATTCTTTTTCTCTTTTTATTTTATTTTAATATTTATCTTTTCTTTCTTTCTCTAATTGTTTTTATCTCTTATTTCTCCCTACAATTTCATTATCATTTCTTTAGATAGATCATGTCATATGTTTGGCATAGCTGGAGTCAGTGTTTGATTACTAAGACGAACCAATTTGGATACGGTGAAATATCCCAGTTAGAAAGAGAAAAGATTTAGAAAGAGAAAGAAGAGATAAAAAAGATTTAGAAAAAAATTAGAGATAAATATTAAAAAAATTAAATCGAGAAATAAGAGATAAATATAAAAAGAAATAGAAATGAAATAGATGAATACGAGAAAAACGTTTACGCAATTTTAAGTGAAAAAAAAAAAAAAAGAAACAAAAGAAAAGAAAAGAAGAGGGAGTATAAACGAGATAAACAAAAATTCGGCGTTTCCTTAAATTAAGGTATCCCTAAATTAAACTCAGCTCCATTTATAAGCAACTTTCAAACATATTGCTTTATTCCAACGATCTTTTATGTCTCCTCCGTCAATAAAGTATGTGCAGTTTGGGCACGTTCTCTCTTTAAATTTATCTTTTTTGTCGCAAAATTTGAACACCAAAGGTGAGTTCCTTGACTGTGATTCATTTTCTCTGCAATTTTTTTTTATGTATTCTCTCTGCAAAAATTTCAGATTATATTTTCATTGCAGCACTTTAAGATCTCTGCAAAGTATAATCTTGAAGCTCTGTTGCAGTCTATGTAGTTTGCTCCGTTATTTAGGATTTCAATAAGGGTTTTGTGCGATTCTGTTTTCTGCAAATGCTAAATGGTGAAGCTAAGTAGTAACTTGTGATGGATTTTGTTTTCTCGGACGGTCAAGAATTAAATTTGTAATTTGGTTGAATTCATGGATAAGTGTCTTTTATTTAATGACTGTTTATAAATGCTGAAAGTGAATGCCTTTGGCTTCATTTTGTTTGTCTGCAAAATTTGTTGGTGAGGCTTTCTTGTTGGTTTTATTTGTGGATCGCCATCTTTTATTTGTGGAGTGCTTAAGTTGGGGTGTTGCTTTTCAGCTTGGGCTTTCTTTGCTCGCACGGACCACTAACTTGTATTCGGTGGAGTAGTTCAATTAGGTCTTGTATGAATCCATGGATCATCAAGAAGAGAGAAAATTCAAAACGAATACATTAAGGAGAATTTAGCTATTGCTTAAATAGGCGATAAGATGAGAAAAAATAGTCTTAATTGGGCTGGCCATCTGCCAGACCCAATACAACACCGTCAAGTGGAAGGCTCAAAAAGGAGTTGGAAGTAGTGAGAAAAAGATACAAAGACTTATTACCTCAGGGACCCTTGATAGAACAAAATGAAGGACTAGGATCGTTCAGCTGGACCATAAATAGTTGTGAAAAGGCTTGATGATGATGATGATAATGAATTCATGGATCATTATCTTCTTCTTTGGAGGAATCCAATTGGGTTTTTTTTTTGTCACGGGTTAGCATCTTCAATGGTTGTAGGCATTCAAATAGGTATTTCTAAACAAGATTTGTGCTTTCTCATAGGTTTGCTACTCATTATAAAAGCATGTTATTGATCATGTAAAATTAAGATTTTCTTTGATTTTATGTTTTGCTTAACACAATGTTCTGCTCTTTCCATTATGGTTTCCTTGGTAGAGTTCCCATTTTTAATGTGAAATATTCTCTGAAATGTATTTTAGACGCCACTTTGTTAAGTTTGCTTTGAATTTGTTATGCAGTCATCTGTAATGGATTCATAAACAGTATTGCCAAGTTCATTTAATTACTTTATTCTCGATGAGGATAACTAAGTTCACAAAGTTGGGGATCTCCTTCCGAAAAGACCCTGTATAAGCTAGATATCGTGTTGTTTAATTTTGTGGAAGCACGTAGTATGTCGAACGATCCGTGCTTCGAACGTCCTCTCTTTGGTGGTGCCATTTCAAGTGCCTTCCCCAATAGGTTCCAGGTTAGTGCCTCCTCATTCCATGCAACTTATTAAGTTTTCTTAGTTGTTGTCTACACTGAAAATGGATTATGATTTCTTTGACATTGAAGGATGTAAGCAACATTCGTCAAGTTCCAGATCATCAGGTGAGGTTCAAATTCTGTTGTATGTTTCTCCTTGATCATGACATCCCGTTGTGTTGATGTCTTTATTTTTGGGGTTGGGAGGCTGGAAGGGAGGGAGGTGGGGGCGGGGATTTTTTGCATTTTTGGGGGCGGGGGGAATGGGGCGCATGTGGGGAGGAGGCAAGAGAGAGGGTGCTGAGAGTAGTTTGAATTTGTTGAAGCTATTAGCTGATAAATTGATGACTTTGTGTTAATTTTTAAGGAGGTGTTTGTGGACCCTAACCGCGATGAGAGTATAATATTTGAGCTTTTAGACCTGAAAAGAGATGTGGAGGACAGTGGAAGCGCTCTTTGGTTTCTTCAGGACCTTGCCACCGAGCAAGATGCAGAAGGAAGCCTGGTAACTAATATAATTCTCTCCATATATAACTTGATGCTGCTGAGAGAAAGTATACTATAATTCAATGAACTACGGAGCATAGTAATTTAAAACCTAGACTGTGGTCGGGACTCGCTAGGGCCCCGAGCAGGCTGGTCGACCCAGCCAAGTCTTAAAAAAATTAACGAATAAACCTTGGGATTCGTGACTCGCTCGAGTCCGAGTAGGACACAGTGAGTTCTAAAACACCAATGGAGAACTATATTCCATTAAGGTCATTGGTGTCCAATAAAATGATGGATGGTAATAGACAGGGTCTCACAGCATGACACATGACCCAACACTGGGCTCACTCTCTCTTCATCCGGTCCATGATGACTCCACTGCCATATGGTTTTCCATATCCCATCAGGTTTTAGCATGTTATTCCTCCAGCTTATATACTCTTCGGTTAGAATTGGTCTTTTGGTTCACTTGGACTCATGCGGTATATCTATTGTGTAATTTGCAGCTTTAAGTATCATCACATCTTTCAGGAATATGTTATTCTGTGGATTAGTCAATATATTAGACTTCTAGTTACTCGACATGAACAATTTTCTTTAACATGATTTCCATATGAACCCAAAGAAGGAAAAGAAAAAAATTGAATTTGTCTGTGGTATCTTTAGTTCTTGCTTCTATCACCAGTATTTTGTCCATAGTTTATTATTGGGTTTTTGATTGATATGTGCAAATAAGTATAATTTTTTTTAAGTGAGCATAGCATAATGTAAAAATTTATGCTTTGTCTGGTCATGAAATAAATAAATTACTTTCTTCTATTCATTCACATTCCCCTCTCTTACACTTTATTCGGGAAAGATGGTTAACTGATGTTGCGTTCATTCTCTTTACAAATATAGCTTCCATTTATATACAAGCTGACTAAGTGCCTGTTCAGATCCTAGATTTTGCACCACTCTATACTGATTACATGGCTTAATTGATGGAGATATCTGTGCTTCTAAATAACATCGCTGGAGTGCTATTTTCTAACTTCATTTTATGTTTAAGCTGCATTCTAACTTTATTTGAATTATGCACTAGGTGATAGAGCATACTGGTACCGTGGAACCTCGAGAGCTGCAGCATAATGATTTGCAAGCAGTTATCACTACTGCTGTTGGTCAAATGGTAACACTCTTAGATCTACCTTTTCATTTTTCGTCACATTTTCATTTATCGCCAATCACTCGTAAAAAAGCATCGTTTCCTCTATGACTCTATGTGTGATGTCAACTTGCATACTTTTAAATGAATATATACTTATCTGTCCCTCTAAATCCAGCTTATATGCTTAGCACATCATGTTGTTTAACATGTATGAGCTAATCAATTAGCTTCCTTTTCATCCTTCTTTGTGCTTTTTCATTATTTGACTTGGTTTCTCTTGTGAGTTTTTCTGCTTTTTGTATAATGTCTGTGAGGTTTGAATTTTTTTTTTGTTTTTTTTTGTTTTTTCAATTTTATCATACTTAATATTTGCCTGCTGTGTGTGTATACATTTCATGAGTTCACATTTCCTTAGTCTATCTTTGTGGGATTGATTTGCACAGGCCATTTCCAAAGGACGACAAGGAAGAGAAGCACAAAATTTAGTGAGGGTAAGTGTGCCACCTTTTTGTATCCCTTGTAGTTTTATCTCCCTTTATTTTTTTTCTTGAGAGAGTTGATGTAGTGCTATTTCCATGATCAGCTATACAATTGTGCAGGTTTATCTGGCAAATTTGCGCCTTAAGCAAGTGGCTACTGATGTTCTCATCACTGCATATGAACCTATTATAATCAAGTAAGATGGTGGATTTGCTCATAGGAGCAATCTTGAAGCTTATGATTCGTGCTTGTTCTGTTTGTGGTACACTGCATCTGCTATTCTTTTAAAAAATTTACCTACTGATAGCTCCAAATGCACATTTTTTTTGAGTTTCAGTTATATAGGAATCAGTGAAAAAATATGTAAATATAGGCATACTCAAGTTTATATAATAAGGAGTGAAATAATTTGAAAATTTAATGCTTCTGTTAGATTAATGAAGTCTTTGTGGGTTACAGTTCTGTTTGAGAATTGTGGTTAACAATGACTAGAATAAAGAAATGAAATTCTGATGCCCTGACACAACCATGGATGTGACTATGCCATTGATTTTCTTTTATGACTCTACACATGTTCTCGAAGTATTAAACATTTAGAACCGAGTTTTATGTATATATGTATCATGGTCGGGTACACTGTCTTGGCTGTGCTGATACAAGGTGATTAGGATACAACGAGAAATCCATTGTGGAGATTTTGAGTTATAGAACCTGGGTTTGCACTCTATGCACAATTCTATCGCTTGTTTGGGGAGATATGAAATTGTACTCTGCATTAGGATATTATCAAATGCACTAACCAGCAGATAAATTAGTAATAGTTACAATCAGGGTTTTAAAACCTGTAATCGGGTCCCCGTTGCCCCTCCGGTGGGCTGGTTCAGAATTGCCAGCTCGCACCAATCCGGCGGCCAAAAATAAAAATAAAAACGCAAAAAAGAAAGTACAAAAAATAGAAAGCTATGCATTTTTTTTTCAGATATATATTTATTTATGGCCTCTTTTTCCTCTTTGTCTTTCAGAACAAATTATTTAAATTTGGGGCCATGCCTCTAAGGCCAACTGGTCAGTCCGGCCTGTTTGCACCCCTAGTGGAATCAAAATCAAAATCGTTAAATGAAAATCAAACTTCAGAGTAGCATTTGTATAAAAAATACTGAAAAAATCAGTTTTTTCATAAGTTTGAGCTGCTGATTTATGAGATAGGGGGTTTGATGCAAAACTCTTTGCTAGGGATATTATAGATCTTCGAGAGAAAAATGCGATAGTACAAATTTAAGAGAAATCAGAGGAAGAACTAGACAGCAATATCAATAATGGCAGATTAGATGTAAAAATGGTGGCAAACCCACCAAATCTGATCTTGATATTTTGACATTTCCAGTTTTGATACCAAAATTTTGTTAGTAGATGAATGAGAGGAACAGTTTGATACAAATGTGAAAGAAATGGTGAAAAGACAAGAGAAATGGAAAATTATCAATTTCAGTATAAAATCAGGGATGATTCTTGATTTCATAAGGGACTCGGCCCATTAATCTAGATTGGGTGATTCCGATATGGATAAGTGATTTTCAAAATGCTGGTTACAATGCATTCTCTTGCATAATTGTGCCGTGTTGATTGATTAATTTTGTCGTGGACTCATGGATTGAAACTCGAGATTTGCTAAATCTTGAGTTTGTGAATTATTGGGATTCTTCTGTGGGCTCTCCCTCTCCTGAAATCTTCAAGAGAGATTTCTCATGAGATGGGAAATCGGCGTCATTACCTTCCAAGATATGAAGCCCATTTCCATGAGAGGCTGCTACTTTGTATAGCCATGTGAACCTCGGGTACTTTCTTACCTGCCGCTTTCCCACACGAATATGGGAGAGTGATGCTCCGGCAAGAAATCTTTCTCCCAGGGAAATTTAATCTGCCCATGTTCTCCCTCTCTCCGTCAATTTGATTTCCTTTGGCAATATTCAAATATCTCGTTCTTGGTTGGTTAATTTTCTCGCGCGTGTTTATTTATCAGCCCGCTCAGTGAAAGTGCGAGAACAGTTGGAGCTGGTCCTGCTGCATCAGCTGCACAATTCGGGTGCATGCCTGCATTCGACGTCTTCAAACTTGCAGTTCCAAGCTTTAAGGTCCACGACTGGAATCTCTTTAAGGGTTAACTCAGTATGGAAAAATGGCCCATGCTAAGTGATCTGCGTTTGGAGAAGACGATACAATCTGATAAATGGTTAACTCAGTCAGTCATTCATTTTTTAGGTCATGTGTCTTTTTATTTTTTCCCAGACATGAGTTGGAAATATGGCAGTCAGTCACTCATTTTTAGGTTTTCTTTTTATTTTTTTCCTCTCAGATGAGTTTGTAAATATCGTTGGTGATGCACATTTTCAGTTGAATCTTATTTTATGTCTACATTGAATTCCTAGTGAAAACTGGAAAAGGACTAAACGTCAAATTTTGTTTACTTTCTATGGTTTTGATCGTGTCATTATTTTTTCCTGTATTTGATTACTTTTTCCTTGTTGATTGGTTATTTTTGTCTACTACTAGATGCGTATCATACAAACATCGCCTTTCACAAAGAAAAAAAAAATCATAAAAAAACATGCTAGATGTAACTGAAGAGAGAGGGAGAGAGATTCTAGGAAGAAAAAAATAACATAAATTATGGAGAAATGAGTGAAATATATAGAGATGAGAGAGGTACAGGGGGAGTGAAGGTACTTGGTCTGACTGGGTTGTACCATAGAGTTGAAATATAGAGAGGGAGAGAGAAGCAAGCTAAACTACCATTTGGTTGTGAACCAATTTGAGAGAGAGAGAGAGAGAGAGAGAGAGAGAGAGAGAGAGAGGGGCTACCAATTTTCAAAAGGGTAAGGTATGTATAGGGTTCCCACTTTGGACTGAATATGTTAGGTGCACCTCTAAATTTCGGCAGATGTGGTTTCCATGTCGGAAATTTTAAGATGGTTTGAAAAATCCATGCTTTAATTAAATAATTTAAGAATTCAAAAACAGTATAGATCAGGTAAAATTTATAAAATATTTGAAAATCGTAAAATTAGATGGTTCAGGTAACTTGTTATAAAATATATTATTTTTAAAATATTTTTTATTTATTTTAATACATGTCGAGGTTGAAATGATCAATCGAAAAGTTTTCCAATTTAAAAGAATGCTTTTCTACTTATTTTTTACATCCGCCTTAGTTGTCGCATGAGGTCTTAATCTTATCTAAACTTTTCCTTTCTGAAAAAGTCCAGGTGGTCCAACATTTCCAACTCAAAAAGATTACTTTGACTTGGCCAAGAAGGGAACAATGATTTGAACACCTCACCTTTCCTTGACAATAATAAATTAACTCCTAATTAACTCAAGAAAATCTTGTTCCTTAATGCACACCGGTTTCCAAAACTGCCCCTGATTCTGTGAAAGTGACCAGTCCTCTCTAAGGACAAGATGATGTCCTCCTCTACAATTCGTCACATTTTCATAGTACCCGTACAAAAAAACCCAGAGTTCATGTTCTAGAGAGAGAGTGGATTTCCAAAAATGGAGGATTTTGAGGGGGCCACTAATTCCCTCTCAAAACACAAATAGGCAAACAAGCTCTTGAGGAATCATGTTCTCTCACATGTGTGTATGTCTTAGTGTTGAGTGAAAATTGGTACTCTTTCTTTGTCAATGTAGAAATTGCATTTAATTCATTCAAAAATTGAGGAAAATGATGTTCGTTTCCCAATGTAGAGACTTCTTTTAATTTATAAACTGAGGCTTTTTTTTTCTAATGTAGAAATCGCATTTAGTTTAAAAAAACTGCATTCAATTCATCCACCCAAAAAAATTTGCCTTTCATCCACCCCAAACAAATAAATGTGCATTTAACCTTAAAAAAACCCCTCTCTTTGTTTCTACTCTTGTTATGAGTTATGACAACCCTGCTTGCCTTTAGTTCTTGGTATAAAAGCAATAAGGATTTCTCCATGGATTTAAACACGTTAATATATGGATACAAGTGCATCAAGTGTCTTAAGAAAACGGTCTAGGCTCTCCAGAAAATTCTAACTGCATGAATGAGTGATTAAAATATTGGTGAACCGACTAAAAATCACCCGAGTTAATTTAGTTTTTGGGAATCTTCAATTTTTGTCAAGGAATAACCTGAGTTGTCTAGTACGATAGAGACTAAGGTAATTTTCACATTTTAAGTAATTGTTTTTGTATCTCTTATGTTTTTTCCTTTTAGAGCCGACACATTTGAATAATCAAGCTTGACTCGCCTTGGGGAGTGCCTGAGTCGGCAACTCGATTCAGGGTTTTTAAAGACTTGTATGGAAGGTGAGGATAAATGTTATGATAAGTACAAATGAAATGAAAGGGAGAAGATACTTACCAAAAACAGAGAGGGAAAAGATCTTTGTGAATTGTGGGGCTAAGAAAATTCAATCGCATAGACTTGTCTTTAAGATTTTATTTTAATTAAGTTGCCAAGATTTTCAAAACACGAGGTCATGTCAAACTTTGAAATTTCAATGAGATGGCTAAAATACCCACAATATCCTCCAAATCCAACTCATAACACTATATGGAATATGATAGGGCCCATATTACAATAGGAAATATGTAGTCCTTATATCCCTCCAAGAAATGGAAGGGCCATTGAAAGGAATTTAGAACCAGCCATTTTGTTCACGTCACTTCCGTGAGGGTCTCACTCTCCCTCCATTACCATTCATCAACTGGCAAGACAACTAGACGTAATAACAAGTCCATTTTATAATAAAAATTCTAGGGCTGACAACGAGTCAGGCTTGACTGGGCCAGCTTTAGCCTGAGCCCGGCCCTAGCGCCCATGGGGTTGGCCCAAGCCCAGCTTTGCCTCTATGTCGGTTGGGCTAGGCGGGTTTAAGCCAAAATTTATATTGTACAAATAAGGTGCATTTAAAAGTTCCATCGGAAAGTATTGTTTCAATGTTGAAAAACCCTATAGTTGATCCATGCGGGCCACGATAATATACATATATAATAACCTATCGAGACTATGTATTTTCAAAAAATTTAAGTGTATATAGATCTACTTGATTTACATATTTTTTAACTTTAAATTTCACAATTCGGTATGAAAATAGATTTTTAGACCATTGTAAGTACTTCTAACACCTGAACTCCATCCTCCAGCAAGATTTATTGGTGCATTCTACTTTGATTATTTAAGGTTGATACCTTATACAATTTGCACCCTTCTTAGAACCCTAAATATTGAGTATGTGACCTACTCAACTTAGAAACCAACCTAAAGCAAAAAAATTCTAAATACACACATCATGTCCGCTAGGAAAAAAAAATACCTTAGAACCAAACACTAAAAACCAATTTTAAGAAATTCAAATCTAAGTATTCATGTGCACAAAATCCTTTTTGTTCTCTTAAAACACTCATCTTCTAACCCTAAAGTGGACACAAAATCATCCTGATTTTCTCTTAAAATACACAATTGTTAATCCCATAGCAGACCCCAAAAGTTCACTTACCTAAGTAATTAGATCAATTATTTGCTTCCTAGGGACCATAACATTCGCTTAATCCTTTCCATGATGAGGTGGATTATAATGTACCTATCAATTTCCCCACACCATGCTATTCTCCATGTCTTTCCAATATTTGTTAGGGGTATAATTTGGAATTGCATGGAGAATCGTTATCTTTTTACCCCGACAAGCCCAACCGTGTTAGGGTTTTTCTATGTTATCCGACATACAATTGGTCAGCCCACCCACGATATGACATGACATCCCCATTTTAATTTGATGACGTCAGCCCTAGGTGGAGTAGTGGTCTGCTAAGGGTTCGTGACGTCTGCCCTAAGAATCGCCGGCCTGAGAGATACCAACTGTAAAGACGACGTGGCAAATGTCGATGACGTGGCACTGTCGAGCCACCCACCGCCAGATGTCCACCGAAGTTGAGACGGACATTCCCCTGACAACTGGCCTATGGGACCCACGCGTAGGATAAAATTACCTAATTACCCTTTCATTTTTTTCATTCTGAAAAGTTCGTGTCCACTTTTTACATGAAATTAATGGAAGCCGATGGGTGACGGCTTGTGTCGTGCTAGTGGTATATGAAATGGATTCTCCAGGCTATATAAGCCATTGTTTCTGGTTTTCGAGCTGTAGTTTATTAGTATATTTGTTGTAATAAAATATTACATGTGTTAGAATATACATCGGCTTTCGAGCTAACGAAAACAAGCAAAAAAAAATAGATGCATGTAAACACAACAGCTTTTGCGCTAGCTGTTGTTTGTTGCAAAAAAAAAAATGAATGGTGCAATCCAAGCCTACAAGGGACGGTTGAAAAATACTATTGAAAATATATTATTAAGGCTTTTTGTCAAATAGGTGGTGACAATTATCTTTTATCTTTAGCTGTCGACATGAATCAGGCAGGAATTGGGATGTCACTTCTTGTTCTCATAAAATTGTTGCCTCAGATTACATTTGACACAGGAATGAAACACTCCAAGCTCCTTGAATTCACGTGTGATGATAAAGGGCATTACAACTTTCCTAAATTAAAGATAAACCATCTTCTTATAAAGAGTCCTAGTACTTTTTTTTTTTTTTTGAGCTCAAGCTCGTGAAATTTGGTTTCATGAGATATTGGTTTTTTGTAACAACTTGAAATCGAAACAGTTACCTACAACTGATTCCATAATAGATTGAAACTGCCCTAGAATGCTCTTTAGGTTTTTTTTTTTTGTTGGTCTTTAAAAATAAGAAAAAAGAACCCATGAGAACCAATGGGAATCAGTTATATTTGCATCAGCTCCACGATTTTTAAAACATTGAGTAAAATATATTGGAATACTTAGTACACATTATTTTGTATGAATCTATAACATATAATACCCAAGAAAAAAAGTACTTGAACTTTGGGTGCTAGAAGATGGTGCATGTAAGGTGCGATGATTTGCTGACATATGGTTGAGATGGCATGTTCTTTCTCTAAAATCTAGCCTTCCCTTTAGGGGAGTGGTTCATCTCAACCGTGTGGTGTTAAAACAGGACGATCAAAGATGCATTCTGTAGTATGGTATCTAATATAAAAACAACTAATTTCCAAATGAGACTTTTTGACATTTTGTCTTGTCATTCGCCAAAGTTTGATGGAAATATGGCAACAGAAATAGGGAAATAGCATCATTTTCAAGGAGGAAGTTCATTTTTTTAACAAGGAAATAAAATAGAGGAGTTTATGCTTCGTAGCATAGCAATGATAATGGTATTCTCTACTTTTTCGTGAGTAGTATTGATAATGGTTGAAGCATCCCAAAAATAGGAATCGGGTGCAGACACAGGAACTGCCAAACCGAGTTTGGTATTCGTTTCTTCGATCTGAAAATCTCAGAACTCCTGTTGAAAAAAACAGAAAAAAAACGGAAGAAGATAATATAGAAGA